GGTCTGCAGGGTCTGTGTGAACAGCAGGGGGGAGTGAGGCTGAGTTAGGGGAGTTAGTTGTTGAGGGAGCAGCCTTGCTGCCTCCGAGCTCCAGCCATCCAGTTTTTCTGTTGCATTAAACTATTTTTTTTTGATGCAACAGACCCTCCAGCCCAAGGGATTTGAGGTGCCCATCCCTAGGTGCCCACTAGCAGACAGGAGAGTAACTAGGGATAAAATTGGAGGGGAGGAGAGGAGAAGTTAAGGGAAGCATTTGCTGGAGGTAGAGCTCTTCCTAGGACAGGAGAAAAAAAAACAGCAAGCAAATCTGGTAGCACTTTATAAAGTCTGGTAGCACTTTATAGACTAACAAAACATGTACATATTTGTTCATTTTTTTAATTGTATCCTTTGGTATATATGGTTGTGACTACTTTCTTCCACTATTTGATCTGAGGAAGTGGGTCTGGCCCACGAAAGCTCACCACCTAATAAACCATCTTGTTAGTCTTTAAAGTGCTACATAGTCCTGCATTTTGCTTCAGCTACACCAGACTAACACGGCTACATCTCTATCACTATAAAACATGTAGATGGTGTCATGAGCTTTCGTGGGCACAGCCCAGGTCTTCAGATGCCCGGAGTTATGATTAGAGGATAAGGAAACTCGAAATAAATAGGAGAAGGGAAGGGGGGAGGGAAAAGAAAGCTATTCTGTCACCCACCCCCCTACCTCTATGCATAAAGTATCAGGAGAAAGGGTGCTAAACCTGAGTAGATAAAGATCAAAGTCAGTGGATGGATAAGGCAGGAAGGATACCATTCAGAAAGTAGTTAGCACCTTCATTGATAAAAGTTCCACCCCCCCCCCCATATCTTGATTAAGTCCATAATTAATTGAATTGAATTTGCATATGTATTGTAATTCCAAGCTTTCTCTGTGGATTTGGCTTGAGGAACTGGCCTGTGACAGGACAAGAGGTTCATCTACAGCAGAGTGGCCATGCTTTCCAAGTCAGAAAGTGTCGTATAACTATTCCACCACCCAAAAGCTGCCACCACATGTGTCATGTCGAGTCACCCCCTGCCAGATTTTGACACAATAGCTTTGTGTGTGTGTGTGTGTGTGTGTGTGTGTGTGTGTGTGTGTGTGCGCGCACACACCGTCAAAAGTACTTACACGGGATACTCAGGAAAATGAGCGACCCTAGCAAGAGCACGCAGAGAATCACCACTATCAATAGCCAAATGCTTGGAGTTCTCTTCAGGGCAGGAGACTTTGATTCTGGGGGTCCAGGAAGAAAGGAAAAAGAAGAAATGTCTGGGTGTGTTTGGGACACAACTTAGTCTGCTGCAGATGGAAGAAGGAAAAGTACTTACACGGGATACTCAGGAAAATGAGCGACCCTAGCAAGAGCACGCAGAGAATCACCACTATCAATAGCCAAATGCTTGGAGTTCTCTTCAGGGCAGGAGACTTTGATTCTGGGGGTCCAGGAAGAAAGGAAAAAGAAGAAATGTCTGGGTGTGTTTGGGACACAACTTAGTCTGCTGCAGATGGAAGAAGGTCATAGGTTGGGTCCTCAGCTAGCACAGCTCACAGCACCGCACCCTCCAGCAGCATCCGCGGAGCTACGTTAGTTTACACCAGCTGGTCCTTAGTAGGGATGTTAAATTTCAATTAATTGACTAATCGAATGGTCGATGCAATTTGCATCGACTATTCGATTAGTCAATAAAGGCGCTGCCGCCCCCAGGGCTGTTGCTACACTTCAAAGGTGAAAGGGCTGCGGGGAGCATGAGGCCAGTGGGGCAGTACCCCACTGACTCCGTGCTCTCTGCGGCTGTTCAAAGCGGCAGCGCCGTGTGGAGCCTGGGGCCAGCTGGGGACCCCCACACTGACCCTGGGCTGCACACAGCACTGCTGCTTTGAAGCACCCCTTTTTCTCTCCCCCTCCTTGCTGCCTCTTTCTGATAGGCTACGTCTAGACTACCGGCTT